TTTAGTTACTTTTTAGTAATTGCATATAAAAATCTTTCAATCTTATGTCTAGAAAATGAATCACTTAATTAAAGATATCAAATCAAATGAATAATATAGTCTGCATAATTTCATTAAGTACATTTTAAGGCTTATTTTTATGCAGATTTTTCTTTTTAAATGCAAATGGAAAATGAAAGAAAATGTTTTCAAATTGTACCAGGGCTTTTTGAAAGTCTTTTTCAGAACATTAATTGTATTGTTTACACAGAGAACATGATTTATTTTCCAAACTACACATTTCCATTGAAGTAATCATTAAAAGTTATGAAAAATTTTCAATACTAGATACTACTTTATTAACATTATTTTGACATGCTCGTAATTTTCTTGTTCCCATCTAAAATCATTTTGTACTTAGTAAGAATAACAACAGATATTTCATCTGCTCCTAAACAATTATGTTCAGTGGCTTTGTGTTATGCTTGTTTCTTTTTTAAAAAATAATTTTATTGAGAAAGGAGTAGCAGTGAGACAGTTTCAAAACAGGTTAGTAAGACAGTTACAATAATTACTACATTCTGTATTGTTGTCTTTGTAGTAGTTATTCATAGTACAAGATGCAGACATGGTATCTTGTCTAAACACTATTAATTCAAAACTTCTCATTGAACTATGAGAAAGTAGCTATATATCTATGCTTATATATATATATATATATATATTTCACTACAAAATGGCCCTTCGTTTATATCTCCTTTTTGTTTACTTTTGTCACAGATGTGTATTACATTGTCATTCATATATTCTTAAAGCAATAGAGCTTATCAGATGTCAAAACAAATTGCTGAAGGCAACACTTAGAAATGCGTGAGCACTTCATTAAAATATTTTTGACAGTACAATCATACATCTTTATAAATTGACCTATTCCAGAATACCGTTACCAGGAATCAAACTCATGACCTTGAGTTTGCTAGGCAGGCTCTTATGCCGCTGAACCATTTCTCTCTCTCTCTCTCTCTCTCTCTCTCTCTCTCTCTCTCT